AGGGAAAGACAGCTCTTAATTGCTCCTAATTTATAATAAGTAACGATTTAAGATATAATTTAGCTGCTACTAGTGCAGTTTGTGCAGAATTTAAAGATCTGCCTTAAAAAATAGCTTTCAGGTATAGGTGATGGTCATTTATGGAAGTAACTTTTCAGAACTATTGTTTTCTTCCCGACTTAGGCCTGCACATATCACACAAATGGTGGTGAACCGTTTATCACAGCAGAGGATCCAGTTAAGAAAGGCTGATCAGTGTTCACCTTGTGTAACCCAATAAGCCAAGTTGCAGCATAATGATGTCATCACATAAAAAGCGTACTTCAGGGTTGTTGCCCTGTCATTCCTCTTGTCTCTTCCTTCCCAGTGTCTGGTGTTATAAGTACCCTCAGTTTTTGTTGAAACTACATGGATATCTAGGAGGATACTCTTAGCAATATCCTTAATCAATTGCTAAAAAAAAAAAAATCTCTTTGTTACAACTGCAGAACAGTTGGAGGGTAGATGTTTGTCATTAAGTGTCTGAACACTTGCACTCTCCTATTGCATTTTATATTTTAAGACTGATTCTCTGTTGTGTCTTCCTTAATTGTGATTGAGAACTGAAAGAAACAATGCAATTAATAGCATATGTTGATTCATTATCCATTTTTAATATTTTTGTTCCACAATTGTGCTCTTAATGTTCACTTTTAGTATTTAAGATTTGCCTTATAGAAATCTAGCATAACTCTAATTTTAAAGCAATTGAAATAATATGCATAGTGAAGCTCTATAAAGATTTATGTAGATTGTAGACATTTATGGTCATTTGTAGACATCGTAGTCTGATTGTAGACGTTCTTCAGACTCTAATAAAGGTTGAGCCTGTGCTGTGGTTTATCTTCAATGTGGTGGGCAAGATTTTAGTCTCTAAGTATCTGTTTTCATAAAGCTTGTGAGAATTTGATAATGAAGACCTCTCTTCTCAGGTTTGGTCATGATTGTCCAACTAGCTTTAAAAAGTCACTTTAAGGGAGGAGGTGGGGAGAATGATGAAAATAGATGCAGACAGCATGAATACGTAAGCCTTAGTTTCCTGTAGAGATCAGGCAATACAGGACTGATGGGGGAAAAAGGGCATGAGGTGAGCATGGAAATTGTGTTCCTGGGAGATTAGAAAGCACTTTCTATGCTGTGGTACTGTTGCAGTGTAAATGATAATCCTACCTTTGTGCTTAGCAAACACTGCCAAATCAGTGTCACGTACTTTGGCCTCAAGGCGCTTTGTTTAATTGCACACTACCACTGAAACAATGGGACTTCCATCACGCATCATTAAATTGTTGTGACGATTGTTGAAAGATGACTAAACTGAACTTGATGAGAAGGGAAAAATTTGTCCAGAATAAGCATGTTGAAATTGAAATATAATATAAAATGGCTGGAAGAAAATGCTTTGTGAAATCCTCTTGAAGTCATGTTTTGAATATACTCTGGATAAGGTTAATAAGTGGACCAGCTTCTGCCTAATGCAGAGTCATCAGTATCTAGATTCTGTGGTAATCAGAATCACTAACTGAGAGACTAAGTCTTTGAGATGAGAGCTGATTGAAAGAGTTGCAGATAAGTAAGAGGAGATTTAATATTGTAAAGTTCTCTTGAGTGCTTTTTTTTTTTCCTTGAAATGCGCAGCATTTTTTTTTGTTCTGCAAACTGTAAATCTTGCAGCTTCTGTCTTTAACAATTTCTTGGTTCTTTTATTTGGCTCTGGTACATGTAATTCTTGAACATGAAGTAAAGTTTTGTGAAGTTTTCTACTACTTAACTGTAGCACTTAAATAATCTAAATTCTTGAGGGCCATTTGGAAATATGTAACACCAGAGCTCTTACTTGAAAAAAATCTTAGAGTTGCAGCATAAACAAAAGATGGTTATTTCATATTATTACATTAGTTCATGTGTAAGCTTCATTTACAGAGTTGACATTATGTTTTCCTAGTAGCTTAACTTTGTTTTTTTAGAGATTTCTCTTTATTCAGAGAATTGATGTTGCATTTTAATTTAGAATTGTAGAGTTAGTTATATATGAATGTGCTGTCAGAAGTAAATTTTCTGAATCTTTTCACTTATGAATGATTAATTGGAAAGTTCCCATTTTTTTCTCATGTTTATAATGCATATGATTTCATACTCACTTCACTCTTGATAAATTCTGTTTATTTTCCCTTTGTGTAATAATTATTGCATGGTTTGCAAAAAAAAAAAAATCCAGTGAGATGTACTAGAAAAATTATTCTTCAGGAGCCCCAAAGCCAAGGCTATATCTCAGTTTTGCTGTCTTACCATTTAGATTTGATTTGACTTTAGCCTTGGAAACTTTTGATGTGAAGTGATGGCTCTTCAGGTTTACAGTTTGGTCTTGTAGTTAGCGAATGCACGTTTGGACAACAGATGACTTAAAAGAGGGTGGGTTATACTCAAAGGTGGACTTAAGTTTCATATTTGACAAGGATTAGATTTTTTTTATTGCACGTTACTTGAGAAATACTTCTCCTTAGAAATGGCAAGTTGTAGCATCTTGTTCTAAGATTTAATTAAAAATGAGGTTATGTTTACTCAGCACATGTTGGAGTTAATTATAGATTTACTAAAATGAAAAGCTTAATGTTTTGCCAAGTCAAGAGCAAAAGCTAAGTAATTAAACAAAGAACAGGGTATGGTTTATGATCCCAGCCCATCTTTTGGCAAAGTTCCCTTCAAGGAGGGGAAAAAAATATATATCAGCAGTTGCCTTTACATGGGCTAGACCAAGTTTCCATTTGTTTTTGTTGTCAGAGAACTTTAAAAACCAAGAGTTGAGCACATTGATCAGGAAAAAAAAAAAAAAAAGGAGTCAAAGACTACCAGACTTCATGTAAACTGTGCAATGCTGTTTCTTTAATCTGTAAAGTGAAAGTGCA